GCTGGTGAGTGTGTAGGGCCGGCAACTTGCTGCCAGTGCTGGCTCTGCTAGTCCCACATGCTGCATCACTCAGACAGGGTGGGCGCAGGACAATGGCAGGGAAGAGGGAGGGTTGAGCGAGGGCAGAGCAGGGGTACGCAGGGCCAGAGTTGGTCCTGGTCTTTCCTGGGCTGGGAGGTGGTCACATGGCTGGTGGCCGCTTAACCAGTTGCGCTTGAAAGGTAGAGTCATGTGAAGAAACAGTTCAACACACAAAATTAGGAAATAGTTCAACTCCAATACATAAAAGGGATCATAGCAAGTTAGTCTTTGCTGCAGAAACACAGGCTAAGCCTACATTGGCACTTCACAGCACTGCAACTTTTTGGCTCGGGGGTGTGAAAAAACATCCCCTGAACACGGAAACTAACAGCATTGTACAGTGCCAGTGTAAATTGGGCTATGCTGAGGTTAGCTACTCCCCCTATGGAGTACAACAGGCTTTGGGAGCACTCTCCACGAGTGCTCATACTGTGGGCACACTGCTGCAGCTGTGCTTTAAACTTTTAAGTGTAGACAAAATCTATAAGAAAACCTGTCATTCTAGAGCAGAGGTAGCCAACCCATTTAACAAAGATAGCCAAAACAGCTAAGGAAAAAATGCGAAGAGCCACATCAGAATTGTTAAGCAGAAAAAAAAAAAAAAAGCCCCACCTAGAACAGAATTGTGCAACAAAACCAAAAAAATTTTTTTTAAAAAAAGTTTGTTTAAAAAAGGAGGTTGTCCCCTTTAATACAGCTGACATCTTGGGTGCCATTTTTAAAACCCCGCTTCTCCGACCCAGTAAGCACAGGGAAACCGGGGGGGAGGGGGGAAGTGGCTTCGCGAGCCGTACTTTTAGGGGGCAAGAGCTGCATGCGGCTCATGAGCCATGGATTGGCCACGGCTGTTCTAGAGGGCAAAATAATCATGCATGAGAGAACCTCTGCCCCCAAATGCAATAGGATTACTCATGTGAGTAATAATGTATGTTTAAGTATCAAGATTCAAGGGTGTATTTTTAATTTTCATGTTTCTAGCAACATCCTAAGTGCCAGGAAAGTTCAGGTAGCGCTCACAGATCATCATAACCTTCAAGATGAAAACACAGCTCTTACCACAGTACAGTTTCTTTGTTACTGTTTTTAATATAAGTAAGGATCAAATTTGGAAGCCCCCAAAACAGAGTGTGTGTCAAGAAGAGGTTTTTTTGTAACAATTACTGTTTATCCATGTGTACAAGTTAGACCTCCCAGGCCCGGCACCCTCAGGACCTCACTGATCCTGGATGAGGGATTTTGCTGGATCTGGGGAGGTAATTTCTCACTCCCCTGCTGTTAGCCCCACCGGGCTCATTGGCTCCCCTAGGCAGGCCAGCTGAGTCACATGCTGGGCTTCCTACCCCCCTTTCCGACCCTACTGCAGCCCAGCTTCCCTCTCCCCACAGCCCAGCTGGGCCATATTCAGACCTTCTCAGCTCCCCACACCTGCAGCCCAGCTAAGCCATGCACTGGCTCCCCAGCTCCCGGCTGCCCCTCCCTCCATCAAGGCAGCAGCCTCCCGGCTCCCAGCCCAGCCAGGCTGTGCACTGGGGTCTCCCCAGCCCCACATTGTGCTGGGTTCCCAGCCCTGCAGCATGCCAGGCCTCTCTGATCCTGGAACATCCCTGGGTCCTGCCAAAACATGGATGTTGCTAAACCAGAGAGCCCCAATTAACTATTCTTCAAGTAAAATAAATTCTGGTAATTTTTGAATATGTTTTGTTGAACAGTACCCTAAATAATGTTTGTCATGGGATTCCCCCATGCTTTATGAAAACTGGCTTATGAATATGCATCACTCAAAGACACCTTAGACAAAATGCCCCTTGTAACCATATCAATTTTAAAGTTACAATCTGCTGAATCTGTATATCCTGTTTTTGTATATTTATCATTCTTGTTTGTGCAGTCAGAGGTGCAGATCAGTTTATCATTCTAAATGTGCTACATGAGGGTCGGTTTTGATGCTCTGGAAATTTAGTGGCTCGGTGATCTAGCCAAAGACCTGTGAACGATTCTCTTCTTCCTGAAAGCCCAAACTATGGTTAGTCTTGGAAAGAAATGTGGCCAGGCCACCTGAGATTGATACCCATTTTGGCTTTGCTACTTTTCCACTTGAGGTGAGAGACATTTGAACTAAGCACAAAGAATTCCCGTCTTGGGCAAAAGGCACGTGGGGCAGGGAGAAACCAAACAACAGGGGCAGTTGCCAGACATCAGTAGACCCACTTACCACCTCAGATGCGTGCTGAGAGCATCTAAGAATTGGTTAGCCATCTAGGAGGCTGCTTAGTTGTGAAAAAGATGTTTAGAACAACTGTTTAAGGTAAGAATGTGCATGTAACACGTTTCTTAGTGATTTAAGGTTAACTGGTATTTTTTGTTTATTTTAACTTAGTAATTTACTCTGATCTGACTGTTTTCACTTGCAACCATTTAAATTCTATTTTTTATACTTAATAAAGACTTGTTTATTATCAAGCCTATTGTAAATAATTTTTACCTGGGGGGAGCACATCCACTCAGCATCTCTCTCATTGATAAAAAGGGTGAACCTTATGAGCTTTTTCTGTATAAAAGTTTTACACCACATAATACAGATTTGTTTGGGGGTTTGGTCCCCTTTAGGGGGTTGGTTTCCTGGGTGCTGGGCTCTTATAGCTGAGCCCTCCCAGAGATGAGCTGGTTCAGTATCTGTCAAGTTCAACAGGGGGATTTTACCCCAACTCTGTGCCTTGGCCGGGGGAGACCAGAACTTCTGGACCAGCAGGACAGGGTAGTGGGGAGCCCCAGAGGGCAAATAGGCACTTAGGAACAACCTCAAAGGGACTTCTGTGATGCAACCCCACCATAATATTATTTATCAAGATTAGGGATGTAAGTATTGTTCAAAACATCCACTGCAGCACAGGTGGGGCTGGGATCTTGCCTGGGACTAGGGCTGCAGGCGAGGCTGCTGGGGTGCATGGCAGGGCTGGACTGCTGGAGGGAGCCACGCTGCTGGGCCCCACCTGCTACCCTGACCTGTCCAGGTTCCCACCACCCTTTCTGTCCCATTAACCTATCACCTAGTTAGCATTCTGGTAAGCCAAATACTTACTGAGTAACTGGTTAACCATTTACATCCCTAATCAAGACTATTATACTACATTACAAGTGATGGCATCTTACTATTGTACACATCTGAAAGGATCCATTGTACTGTGTCGAAGCAAAAATTATAGGCCATGGCACTAGACTACATGTACCATCGGTTTTTACAGTTTGGTAAATACAGTAAAACTCCATTGGTCCGGCATCCAATGCTCCGGCACTCCTGATGGTCCGGCACCATCAGGAACCCGGAAGTGCTGGGACAGCCGGACAACTGGAGCTGCTCTGTGCCCGGCTTCCCCGATTCAGCCGCTGCTGAAACTGACCAGCAGCTGAATTGGGGACGCTAGGGGCAGAGCAGCTGGGGGGCCGTGGGGGTG